CTCGTCGAGATCTAAAATTATTGCTTTTAGAGAAAACTGAAATTCAGCCTCTAGAGGCCGTGTTTGGCTGAAAACAGTGGCTGCAGTTTTCCCGAAACTGTGTTAGACAGCCTGTCCCATTTTTACAAAATGGCTTAAAACTTGCATTTGGAGTTAAAATTTGGTTTTGTCACAATCACAGAAAAACATTCAAAACATCGAGAACCATAAGTTTAAATTTAGAAATACTGAAAAATCTCGCTCTAGTGTCCTCATTTTCGCGTACAAAGTAACCGGAAAATTTTTCCTCCAACCCAAAATAAGCAACTTAAATCGAACATAAGCATACCACATAATATTAATCAAACTAACCTCAAAACACACAAAACTAACATAAAACTCACACACCCTTATTACAACTTTTCTCCTCAAGACCCACAAATTACATCCTTGTTTCCCAACTTAATTTTTGGTAGGAAAATATAGGAGAAAGGTTTAGAATTTATACCCTTGAAGACAATCCTTGGTTAGGCTCCTCCTAGAATACTTGATCACCCTCTTCTTTCTCTAGGGTTTGTTAATGGCTTGGAACTAGAAGAGTATAAGAATATTTGAGAAGAATATTTTTACATCCCAAACTTTACTAAAACATAAGAAAGAGAGGGTTTAGAGTTTATACCCTTGGAGAAATACTTGACTAGACTCCTCCTAGAACCTTTTGATCATCTTCTTCTTCTATTGTTTGCTAGTGGCTTAAGGTTAGAAGAGTGAGAAAATTTTTGAGAGAGAATGGGTGGAGTATGACCGGTTTTGGTGTGTGGAAAAGGAGAGGAAATGTGCAAAATGGCTAACCTAAGGCTTGCACTAATGGTATAACATTTATAGACTTTGCTTGATCTCTTCTTAGTTCTTAATTAAACCTATCAAGCTAGCTTAATTAGCTAAATTTTGGGTTAATTCCCCTTGTTTTGGCTGGCCGGTTGTGTGCTTCAAGAGGGAAGTGAAGTAAGCATCCTTGTCAAATAGTTGATTTGACTCAATCTCATCATGAAATCATGAAATCCTTGTCAATTTTGGGTTAATGTTTAGCAGTGCAATTACATGTTGTAATTTCTGTTTTGGCTTTGGTTTTGTTATCCATAAGACTTATTGTGCTCAACTATCAAAATAGAAATGTTTTCAGAAGTGATGTGTTTTTCCAGTTGAAATGTAAAATATTACAAAGTAATATCATTATTAGAAATTGAAGTTGAAGTTGAAGTTGAGTTTAGGAGGATCCGAACTCATAACCTAAATATTTTGAGACTGGTGTTTTTTATGATTAAGATAAGCTTGTCACTACTAGAAACGCCACTAGAATGTTATTCTTTCATGCTTCATAATATTTCTTTGTCACAACCAAGTCATGTACTTTGATATTGACGTCTAGTTTGTCGTTTGAACCCTTAATTTACCAATCTAAACCTGTCTCCTGAAATCAATTTTATTTAATCCATGTGCTTTTGAATTTATTCGGTTCAAACGATGTACTAAGCCAATTAGTGATTTAACTAATGATACATAAAATAGAATTATAGAATGCGTGCCTTGAAACGTCATCATAAGGAAAGCATTGAGGGTTCATTTGCTACTCACGGTTCCCAAAACTTCTTCGATGATTTCGCTTCATGTAACACCGAGGAACTCGGAGAAGATGACCCCAGATGAGCTTTACCAACATGTCCAGATCAAATTACCAGTGTTGTTGCCTAGATCAAGGCCAGAATACAGATAACAAAATGGTTATTTTCTTCTGACATTGATGCTCTGGTATTCGGAGCCTTTCTGTAGTGAGTAATTCTGCTGAGGGGATAGGGCGTCTGAATATTATCATAACAATTAACATTACGTGTTGAAATTATTCAAGTGAACATTCAGTATTCATGTATCTTCTTTTACTGATAAAGCAAAAGAGACGCAAAGAAGAAATCATGGTTCACCTTAGGGTGACAATTCGTGTTAGTGAGTCATGTTCGTGTCAACCCGTTTATTAATCGTGTCAGAAAACATCAATCCGAACACGACATGTTTATTAAAAGTGTTAAAAATGTCAACTTAAATACGACCTAATTATTAATATTGTTAATCGTATCAACTCCTATAAACCGTTTAAATTAATATATTAAATAAATAACTAATATAATAATGACTTATTTAACACGATCAAGGCAGGTTTAACATGTTTATTGGTCAATTTATCTATTCTTTTAAGAAAAATAAATGAATTTTACCTACAAATATTAAAATTCACATTATTTATATTTAATATGTCATAGTTAATCGTGTCACTTTATGTTAGGAGGTCAACTCTAACCCAATCTATTTATTAGTCGTGTTAACCATGTGCAACTCGATTATGATTAAAACTCATTTATAGAATCTAAACCCGCTAACTTCATGTGGGTTTTGAGTCATGTTGATATGTCGCTACCCAAATTACAAGCCCTAATTCCACCCGTGAGACACAACTTGTGCTGATGCTGAAGAAACTTTGAGAGGAAAAATTTTCTATTGTATTCAATCATACGTAAAATGCAATTACACATCTCAGCTATTATATAGCATATACAGAGAGAGTATTAAAGGAAGAAAAACAAATCAGACTATTCTAAGCAACTACCTTCTACAATCATATTGCACATATTGTGGGATTGAGGACTTCTCATTGATCCTCAAATCCCCTTTATCTCGTCTTGACAGCTCACGTCAACAGATGCTTGGTTTCAAAAAAAAAAAAAAAAAAAAAGGTCAAGTATAACATATGCACAACTTGTCAATTTTGTATATTTGTTGACCTTAACTGCGTGGAAATTCCTGCATAAATAAAACATAATCACATCCACCGTCAATAGCCATTGGAGCTAAACTAGGGGGTTATAAATTATCAACAACAACAACAAAAAAAAAAAAAAAAAAAGTAGGGGGTTATAGTTGCCTTTCCCAACCAAAAAAAAAAATTAAATACAACAATAAATCGAGGCTTATCTTTCGCTGGGACTTTTGCGAAGTAGTATAATGTTACTACCAAGTATAAAAACAAAAAATGCCAGAATATTTAAAAATAATAATATTTAAAAAATAATAATAATAATCTTACAGTTACTTTCGCTGCCCATGGTTGGTAGCATTGCCACGTTAAAATCAAATCTGACTGTGAAAAAAGTCATTAAAATTGGGACTATTTTCTCATGTACAAGCCACTAAAAATCAACATAGAAAGATAGTTATCCAAAAACACCAAAAAATGTCGCGGGACACAGCAATGGTTGAGACCACTCCAGGTTTTCCACGTTCACAACACGGGAATTTTTTTTTTTTTCCCCCCATTCGTACGTTTAGAATTTCGTTGACTTTACATGTTTAATTGAATAAATATTTTTCTAAAAAAAGAAGAAAAATTGAATCAAGATTCAATCCACTTGTTTATGTTTCGTATAGAAGTGACTGTTGAGAAAAGTATATGTGTGTGTTGTTTCACATAAAAAGTTGATGAAGATGTGAAATTGTTTATATACATGGAAAGACTCAAGACCTAATAGGTCAAATTTTTGGGTCAAGTTAAGCTCTTGAAGTGTGTTGTGTCAGTTTCACATGTAGTGTCTCCCGGCCCTCATCTTCTCACGTTCCAGCTTCCCACGCGCGCGTCAGCAGCACCACGCAACCACCAGGCACGTCTCCTCGACGCGTAACTAGAAGCGTGTGCCAGCGTAGATTCGGTTAGGTCATGCACGACAGCTGTAGTCCTGCCAGATTCTCTGCGCTCGCCAGCTGTCCACGCGGGCCAACCTTCCATTTCTTTGTGCACCTGAGTTGTCCACGTAGGTCCCAATTGTTCCCTCCCACCAGCAACCTCTTCCTTTGAGTGGGCGACATGCGGCGATCCAACCCCTTCACCCAATATGCGCGTGACATGTGGCATTCGCGGTACATCTTTGTCTGTAGCTCTTTTTCTTCTCCCAGATTCAGCACAATAAATATGCTCCAAATACCAGAATAATTACCTCAGATTTTCCTCAGCAACAAATATTTGATTTTTCCAAATTGATTTTAATTTTATTTTGTTTCCATTTCTTTGTAATTTTCTATTTTTGTAGATTTGTTTCCTTATTTGTTAGGCATCTCCTAAACACTATAAATAGAGAGGTTGGCTTAAGTTAGTTTTTCATATTCAGTTTTCTATCGTCTTGTTGTCATTCTCATATTTTCTCTCTAGGCTAGAGTTTCTTTTGTTGAGGTTAGAGATGAACTTTTGTGTTGGAGTTTTTCAATAGAGGGTTTGATCCTTTTTTCTCTGTAATGTTTTATACATTTGAATGAATTAAATCCTTCATCTTTTATTTTTTAAATATTGTGTGCCAAATTTTTATATAAATTCAGTGATGTTTTGTTTGTGTAATTTTGTCATGCAATGTTTTGATATTTAGAATTATTTTATGAGTTGATTTTTTACAGCAATATTGTTAGAGTAACATATTGTTGATTTAAGATAACTTATAGTAATAATAATCATTTTGAAATTAACGTGAGGTTTAATTCACTCAAATAAGTTTGCTTATTAAAATCATACCAAGATTGGAAGACAACACACACAAAGGATTCTTGATGCCTTACAGCTTTTGATTATTGAATTGTTTTATAAGAATCACTTCTTCTATTTATTTTTCTCAATTGACAATCATAAACATATCCATCTTTTATTATCTTTATATGCTTATCTCTCTAAAGTTTATTTTCTATTAATTGATCTTGCTTGTTCTTTGTCATTTTCTTGTGGGATCGCTGCAATAGACCGCTTTATTTAATACACAATTTGCGTGTAAGTAGTGGCAAAACAGTTGTCGTTCATGAAATGTCAAATGTTAAGATGGAATTCTTCCTTTTTTTTAATAGCCAATGGAGTCATCCCTTTGCTATAAATTAAACAGTAATCGGTATCCTTCCACTCACATAGCAACAAAAAATTCATTCTCGTTTCAAGAAAAATGAAGTCCTTTTGTGACCCTTTATCGTTTGCCAAAATTACCATCTTTCTTTTTTCATTTGTGCTGCTAGCTACGGCTAATCACGCTCATGAAGAGTTTCTCCAATGCCTGAGCTCTCTTATACCCAAATCAATTATTTACACTCCAAATAACCCGACGTATTCCACTATATTAAGTTCAAAGAATCAAAATCCTCGTTTTTCTTCTTCTTCGATCAAAAATCCATCTGTCATCGTGTCACCATTAAATGTCTCCCACATAAAACCCACTGTCTACTGCTCTAAGAAACACGGCGTGCAAATAAGAATTCGAAGTAGTGGCCACGATTATGAAGGCGTTTCTTTTCAGTCCACTGTCCCATTTTTTGTACTTGACTTGAGTAACCTAAGGTCTATTCGCGTTGATGCGGAGAGCAAGACGGCATGGGTTCAGACAGCTGTGACGCTTGGTGAGCTTTACTATAGGATTGCTGAAAAAAGCAAAACTCTTGGCTTCCCAGGCGGTCTTTGCAGTACCGTTTGTGTTGGTGGACAATTAGGTGGAGGAGGTTATGGCTTTCAATCGCGAACATACGGCCTCGCATCAGATAATATTATTGACGCGCAATTGATCAACGCTCAAGGAAAAATTCTCAATCGGAAATCCATGGGGGAAGACTTGTTTTGGGCCATACGTGGTGGCGGAGCAGGAAGCTTCGGAATTGTAATTGCCTGGAAAATTCGACTGGTTGACGTGCCTCCCACAGTGACTATCTTTGAAGCAACAAGGTATTGGGAAAACAATGCAACAAAAAAGTTTATTCATCAATATCAACGCCGTATTTCTAAGATCGATAAGGATCTAAGTATCTTCATCGGATTCCGAACTGTGAATGCGAGCGATGAACAAGGGAATTCAAAAATTGAAATCATAGCTATTATCTCAGCTACATTCCACGGTAGCAGGGATAGGCTCCTTCCATTGATGCAAAAAGAGTTTCCTGAATTAGGTTTGCTTAAAGAAGATTGCACAGAAATGTCGTGGGTCCGATCCATTGCCCATTGGAATGGTTTTAGTGACGACGGTCCCTTGGATGTTCTACTCAATAGAACAAACAATTTCGTACCGAATGCTTTTAAATTGAAATCTGATTATGTGAAAAAGCCTATTCCAGATGACGTGTTGGAAAAATTATTGGATAGATTGTATGAAGAAGAGCTAGGAGGAGGTGTTGTGGAATTCTTTCCCTACGGAGGAAAATTGAGCGAAATTTCAGAATCTGAAATCCCATTCCCACACCGAGCTGGAAACCTCTACAACCTTCGGTACATGGCTTCATGGGTAGTAGGTGAAAATACTACAAGCATCAACAATCATCTTAGTTGGGTAAGAAGTGCTTACAATTTCATGACTCCCTATGTGTCAAAAAATCCAAGGGGTGCATATCTCAACTTTAGAGACCTTGACATCGGGGTTAATCCAAATAAGAGTGACACCATAAGTGCTTATGACTACATTAAACAAGCAAGCGTTTGGGGTACTAAGTATTTTAAGAACAATTTCTACAGATTGGTTTATGCAAAGACTTTAGCTGATCCAAATAATTTCTTTACATACGAACAAAGTATCCCACCTCTTCTTTCACATAAAAAGAGGTGATTAGAAATGCTTGTTGCCTTGTATTTAAATTATTGTTTTACCTTTCTTACTTTGTCCCTTTTGAATAAAGGTCATTTTGTGATCATATATGTATGAAGTTTCCAAATGAAAATAAAACTCCCTTTCTATGTTGTGTTAATGCCCTGACAATAATTGATTAAAAAGGTGCCACACATGCTGTGACAATCCTCTTTAAGAGGCCGTCACTGTAGCTGACGTTTTTAACTTGTACTTACTGGCATTTCTTAAAATTTGTGGAACATTTTTTTTATATATATAAGAAAGAATAATTTCATAACTCGTAACAATAGTTTCAAAAGAATGAATCACTAAATTTCTTAAAGCTTTTCTTAATTTCAATTAAGATAAAACCTTCTAGAGGAGGTACGAATATTACGTCACTTTTATTGACGACTATTCAAGATATGGTTATGTTTACCTAATGCAACAAAAATCTGAAACTTTTAGAAAGTTTAAAGAGTTCCGAGCAGAAGTTGAAAAATAATTAGGTAAACCAATCAAGACACTTCGATCAAATCGAGGGGGAGAATACCTAGACCAAGAGTTCCGGAATTTCTTGATTGAAGAAGGTGTAGTATCCCAATTGACTGCACCCAGTACACCACAGCAGAATGGTGTAGCTGAAAGGAGAAATCGGACTTTGCTCAACATGATGAGATCAATGTTGAGTTATTCTTCATTGCCTACTTCGTTCTGGGGTTATGCCCTAAGAATAGCTGCCTATATTCTGAATAGAGTACCATCTAAGTCTATTCCTAAAACACCCTTAGAGTTGTGGTGCGGTCGAAAACCTACTTTGAAACACGTGCGCATATGGGGTGTCCAACATATGTGCTGAAAGGAAAGACTGGGAAGTTGGAACTCAAGTCAGAAGTGTGTATGTTTGTAGGATATCCTGATGGGACGAAGGGAGGTTTCTTTTATAGTCCTGAAGATCAAAAGGTATTTGTATCGACAAATGTCACTTTTCTGGAGCATGACTATATGATAAATTTTAAGCCCAGAAGTAAAATAGTTTTGGAAGAGTTACTTTCCGATGAGATCAGACCACAGCCAGCAAGAGCTGTCGGACCACTCAGAGAAAAGATCACAGTTCCTGATCAGACTCCTATGGCACCTCATCGTAGTGGGAGGGTAAGCAGGTTACCCAACCGGTATACCGGGGAAGCCCAAATCGTCACTGCTGATGATGGGAAGGAGGATCCATCGACCTTTAAGGATGCGATGGATGATTCTGATAAGGAAGAATGGCAAGCAGCTATGAAACTCGAGATGGAGTCTATGCACTCTAACTCAGTCTGGCAACTTGTAGATCTACCCAAAGGGGTAAAACCTAGTGGATGCAAGTGGATCTTTAAGAGAAAGAAAGGAACGGATGGAAAAGTGGAGACTTACAAAGCAAGGCTAGTGACTAAGGGTTATACCCAAAGAGAGGGAGTTGACTATGAGGAAACTTTCTCACCAGTAGCCATGCTTAAGTCCATCCGGATACTCCTGGCCATTGCAGCATATTTTGACTATGAGATATGATAGATAGATGTCAAGACAGCTTTTTTGAATGGCTATCTTAAGGAAACCATCTATATGGATCAGTCAGAGGGTTACATAGAGGAAGGCCAATAGTAGAAAGTCTGCAAACTACAAAGGTCCATTTATGGACTGAAACAGGCTTCTAAATCATGGAACATCAGGTTTGATGAGGCTATAAAGTCTTATGGATTTGATCAAAACATTGATGAACCATGCGTCTACAAGTACAAGAAAGAAGAGAAAGTGGTCTTCTTAGTTCTTTACGTCGATGACATCCTACTCATTGGGAATGATGTGGGATTGATGACAAATGTAAAGGAGTGGTTAGCCAACCAATTCCAAATGAAAGATTTGGGAGAGGCAAGCTATGTTCTTGGGATTAAGATTATTCGAGATCGCAAGAAAAAGCTTTTAGCGTTATCACAGGCATCTTATATAGACAAAGTGTTGTCTAGATATTCGATGCAGAACTCCAAAAAAGGGAATTTGCCTTCTAGGCATGGTATTCATCTTTCTAAGGAGCAATGTCCAAAGACCCCATAACAGGAAGAAGATATGAGACGGTATCCCTATACTTCGACCGTGGGAAGCCTTATGTATGCCATGTTGTGTACAAGACCAGATATCTGCTATGCAGTGGGAGTGGTCAGTCACTACCAGTCCAACCCAGGATTAGATCATTGGGTTGCAGTAAAGTGTATTCTCAAGTATCTTAGGAGAACGGAAACTCTATGTTGGTATATTCCGGAGAAGATCTGTCTCTCACCGGATACACGGATTCTGATTTCCAATCGGATAGAGATAGTCGACGGTCGACATCTGGATCTGTGTTCACTCTTAATGGAGGAGCCGTGGTATGGAGAAGTATAAAGTAAAAGTGTGTCGCTGACTCTACCATGGAAGCTGAATATGTTACAGCTTGTGAAGCCGTAAAAGAAGCTACATGGCTCAGGAAGTTCTTAACTGATCTGGAAGTTGTTCCAGATATAGATAAGCCAATTAAGCTCTACTGTGACAACAGTGGAGTGGTGGCTAATTCAAAGGAACCTAGAAGCCATAAGAGTGCGAAGCATATAGAAAGGAAATATCACCTTATTAGAGACATTATGGATAGAGGCGATGTAGCAGTTCTGAAAATCGCGTCAGAGAACAACCTTGTTGACCCGTTCACCAAGACATTGCCATTGAATGTATTTGATCGGCACTTAGATGGATTTGGGATTAGAGACATGACACACCTACTTTAGGACAAGTGGGAGATTGTTGGGAATAGTGTCCTAAAAGCATGATATGTAATATGATATTTATTAATTAATTAATAAAAGAGTTTATTTATCATTTTATGTGCATATATTTATGAATATTTTATGAATATCAAATGAAAATTCCGTGATTATTTATGTAACCTTATGTAACACCCTGAAGAATTAATTAAGATTAATTAAGGTAATTGAGATTATTAGTGTGCCTAATCTGGATTATTAATTGAGTTTAATTAATAAATGTTTCTGACACGTGTGAGTTTAAATAGTTCCAAGGTATTTAAATTATTCTCAGTAATTTATTTTAAACCAGAAGTGTGTATGGGCGCATTTCTGGACTATTATTTTAAAATATTGTACACATATCCTTTTCTTTCCTTTTCTTTTTCTTTTCTTTTTCCTTTTTCCTTTCCTTTCTCTTTCCTTTCCCGTGCACTCTCTCTCTCCTTCACTATCACTCTCCCGTGCTCTTTCTCACTCTCTCCCTCTCTCATTTTTGTCCCAAATCAAAACGGATCTTGAACCAAGGAAAGATTTAAAGAAGTTTTCAACGTCAAGAGAAGGATTCAAGGTAAGATTACTGAAAGAACCTCTCTTGAATCTCAAGTTTTTGAATTTCAAAACTCATTTTGGTTCAAATCGGATTTTGATGGTTTTTGAGTAAAACTAAGGTAGATATTGGAGATCTTGGGTTCTTTGGACTTGTTTTAGGACCTAGAACCCAGGTCTAGTGGTATCCCTTTGAAATATTTTGATTTGGGACTGGATTTGCAGGTTTTGGACTGATTTCTGCGAGCTTCTCTCGCGCAGCTGATTCCACCGGTCGACCTGTGTGGTCGACCGGATCACATGGAAATCGGTCGACCGGGTTGTAAGGCTGACCGGTCAACCAGTTCGGTCGACCGGTGTGCACACTACCGGTTGACCGGTAGTGTTGCACTGCTCTGTCACCGGTCGACCGGTTGACACGAGGTTTGACCCTGTTTGGCCTGAAAATGTTGTTTTGACCCCTGTTTTCGGGAAGAACCCACCAAAGTCTTCCACGTCAATTCTTTGATTCCACGTAGACGTGTGTGTGGGCACACGTAAGACAAAACAGGTTTCTTAAACACTCGAGTTTTCATAAACACCAACGCATGCACGATGTGGAATTTTTGGAGAAAAATATTTTGCTCTCTTTTTCCTCTATGAGAAATTCGGCCACCACTCCAATTAGGGCTGAAAATATGTTTCAAAATTGTGTTCACAATTTTCTATCTTTCTCATATTTAAAGAGTAGAAGTCAAACTTCAAAATAGAATCAAATCCTTATCTCTAATTTTGAATTTGGAACAAAAATCCCTTCCCCTTATCCACAAGGTGGCCGACCACACTCTAGGGTTTTATCCCTGTGTGTGGCGCCTCTATCAGATAGGGAAGGAAGAGATTTTATCCTTTATCCAGTAGTCCAATTTTAATTCAGATTCAAATTCGAATTTAAGTCAAACTTAAATTAATTTGAATTCTAAATTGAACAACTTATCAAATAAGTTTAAATGGATAAATCTAGATATGTTCAAATTCAAATTTAAATAATCACATTATTTAAATAATAATCAATTCTCAATTAATTATTTTCGAGTATTTAATTTATAGAATTCCTTAATTCTAAAATTTCCCATTTTACCCTCTGTGTCTGGTAGAATTACTAGGACGACGCGGGGACTAATGGACCTATAATCCCGAGCTCCAATAAAATTAATAATCAATTAAACACTTTAATTAATTAATTAATTCTATTAATTCCAATAGTTACTCCACTATAAACTTGGAATTGCACTCTCGAAATTATAGATATAAATTACTTCTAAACTGTGAAGTGTCCATTTGATATAGTCATTGCATATAGATCAATACTCCATAAATAATTCATAATTAGAGCAAGGTAAAATCCGTTAACCTCCCTAATTACTTATTTATCCTTGAGTACCATTGATTCTCTAATGGACAGTGATTCATAAAACACATTCATGAATCAGAGCTCCTACTGGTCCAAGTACCGAATCAACCCTCAAGAGAATTAT